GGCGGAGATCCCGCCTCTGTTGCGATGGGTTGTTCCCGTGTGTATCGGCTGGACCGGTCTAACAATATCTTGGATCTATTATTCAGAGTGATGGTGAAATAGATGGGGATATTATCAGCAAAATTCAAGTTGGATGGTTGAAGTGGAGGAATGCATCGGGCTTGTTGTGTGATAGAAAAGTCCCCCTTGAAACTTAAGGGAAAATTTTATAAGATGGTAGTGAGATCTGCAATGCATTATGGTGTCGAATGTTGGCCATTAAAAGAGAAGAATAATACTAAGTGTTGCAGAGATGAGGATGCTCAGGCGGATGAGTGGCATTACCCTTAGAGATAGAATATGAAATTAGCATATATGTGAAAAGGTTGGAGTAGCTCCAATGGAAGATAATATTAGAGAGAGTCGTCTTAGAGGGTTCACTCACATAAAACGACGGTCTTCTGATGACCTGGTTAGGAAAGTAGATGTATTAGATTTGACTTATGTTAAAAAAGGTAGAGATAGACCTAAAAAGACTTGGTTAGAAAATATTAGAAAAGACTTTTCTTTATTAGATTTAGATGAGAATTTGACTCTTATCACGCCACAATGGAGAAAAAAGATTCATGTAGCTGAGCACACAGTGGGATAAAGGCTTGTTGTTGTCGTTGTTGTATTTGACAAGGCTAATGTTCATATTGTTGTTATGAAGTCATCTAAGATTGAGTATAACAAATTTTGCTATAGTAATAACATAAGTAAGAACTTAACTTGATAGGATTATTGGTTTTTAGCATGCAAGATCATCTAGCTTACGTCTTACACATCCCGAGGAAGGCCCATGGGCACAAGGTTCATATTACATCACGACATAAGGTTAATTCAAATAGTTCTTATTATATTGAGGATTAATAATTAAGATTTGACGTGGACTTACTAACTTTATTCATGTCTTGTTATTTGGGTAGGGTCTTACAGTCTAAGGATAGTTTATCAATAACGAAGTTGGTATTATTGGGTTGCGGCTTATGTCCAAAGGAAAGCTCAAACTAAGATTTGGTTGGTAACTTTGTGATTGCTTAATTGATTTTGTTGATCTATATGAAATGTATTTTATACAAGCCTGATCTATGAGGTTTGGTCTTCAAATTTTTGGGAAGGCCATGTGGGTTCAGTTTTGTATCATTGTTACTAATTCTATTTAGGTTTGGATCTTAAGCTCTACTTTTAGAGAGGTGCAATGATTAGGATTTGTCAATATGGGATTGCTAGCTTTGTGTATGCCTGATCATTGGATTAAGACTTGCGTCCTAATGAATGTCTATAGGCATGAGATTCTTACCATTGTTACAAACTTGAACCAAGTTTTATAGCTTTGATTACAGAGAGATCGGATGATTAGGATTTTACTTGACAGCTTAATGATTGTATCTACCTACAAAATTGGATTGGGCATACATCTCGAGGAAGGTCCATTGACAATGTAGTTCATAACATTGTCAGGAATGAGCCCCAATGCTGATTTTCATAACTTTGACTATAGTGAATCCAAAGAATTAGGATTTGTCTTGACGGGTATAATTAGCTTTGTGCTGAGTAAGTGAAGCCAAAGAATTAAGGTTTGACTTGATGGTTGTGTTTTCCCAATCAGTTAGGTTGCAACTTGCATCTTGAGGAATGCCAACGAGGAATGATCTTCGTGTTGTTGTTTGCACAAACATGGCAAAAATAGCATTGCGTCTTATAGCTCTAAATGCAAAGTGGACCAAGCATTAAGATTTGGCTAGACAGGTTTTCTAATTTTGTGCCCTAGTGATCAAAATGCTCAGGGCTTGCATCTTGAGAAAGGCTACCGGGACATAAGATTTGAATAGTTGTAACAAGCTCAACCCAAGGTTGTGTCTTAAAGGTTTTGTATTGGTCTCACAGCATTTAAGGAATTTAAAACTCAGAGGCTGCAAAGCCTATGCTAAATAAGATTCTCCCATCAAACAGCCTCAAAGGCCATTTAAAAATGTGATGTCAAGTATCTCAATGAAGTTTGAGTCAGAGATAAAAATTCCAATGGTGCAAATTCAATGCATCGCATCTAACCATTAGATCTTTTGGCAGATCCTGCATTTTAATTTTTATGCTCAAAGATTTTATCAAAATTAGAGCAATTAATTAATTTATTTAATGCTCTAAGTCTTGAAAAATATCAAAAATGAATTTGAATAATTTTACTCATTCTGAGACATGAAACATAGACCTTTGACGGTCTATGAAAAATTCCATATATGATTTATGATTGTTTTTATTAATCAAATTCATTTGAATATTCCCCAAAACATAGCAAATAGTAAAAGATACAAATTCTAATAAATGCAAATTGTCATAACCTATGATTTGGTAGGAAAGAAATGTAACTTGTATGAATTGAAACAAGTACATAGCTATTTGATTGGAATCAAATGGCCAAGAATAACCTATGGTTTGATATATAAGTGGAAGGATGGACACTAATATAAATGCTATTTCATGCATTGGAGGGTTATCAAAACATGAATCCAAGAACATGTCACTTCATTACCCTCTTCTTTGAGTTCTCAAATAAGAACAACCCATAGGAAATCACTGGATTTCCACGAGTTAAAAAAACAGGACAACAGGATTGGGATAGAAAAACATAAGCTAAGGATGCTCTAAATGGACATAAGGTTTGGGGAAATCATCATGCAAACAACCATAGCGACCAAGAGACAAGCTTTCTAACTTTGAGAGATTTTATCTCACTGAAGCTAGCGTTCAATGGTTTCCAGCCATAGTACATTCGTCTAGCAGAGAAGGAGACAACATAAACAAAGAAGGGGAGTGCTTGGCCAGTTTTGGACATCCATTAACTTACCTAAGTTGGCGAGCAAAGAGAAGCAACATTGACAAATGGACTTGGCTAGGGGAAAAAGCCTCCTCGCCCTCCTCTCTCAATCAAGAAATTGAAGGAATCTCTCTCCCATTTTATATATCCGAAAACCCAAAGAAAGAAGAAAAACCTGAAGCTAGCAAGAAGTACATTTCTTCTGGTCAAAAACAACCATCTCCCTCTCAACTAGTTGGAAAACCTAAAATCCTTAAGTAGAAGCCTTCTCGATTTCATCTTAGTCACTCCCCTGCCTGTTCCTTTGGAAACCCAAAAAACAAGCAGCCACCTCTCTCTTATTTTTGAAAAACCAAAAAACCAGAAAGAATAAAGAGCCCCTTAAGATTTTCTTTTACAACACTGCTCTAAACCTCTTATTTTCTCTGAAAGAATCGAAGAAAGAAGCCCACAACCCTCTCCTTTTTGCTTGGATGCACTCCCGCTTCTCTTTGGGAACCCACATATAGAAGCATCCTCTTGTTAAAAAAAAAATCTCCCAACTTTCATTTTGTTCGCCAAGTAGTTGGCAAGGAAAGCAAAGGAATAAGTAAAATAATGATCCCAGTCTCATGTCATTTGGTGTTCGATGGCTATGATATGATTTAATTATCCTTTTTGGCCTAGAGATGTTATTTATTATAGAGGGTCATGGTAAAGGTTGGAGGGCAACAAATACAAAACCTGTGCCTCCAATTATTGGATCAGATGACCCAATTTATAAAGGACTGGGAAGATCAAAACAAGAATTACCTAATTCATATCAGTTAATTTGAGCCTGATTTGGGTTGATGAGCTTAATTAAACTCAAATCGACTAGATTTAACTCGACCGAGCTCAACTAAATTTGATTCGAATTGATTTATTTTAATTTGGCGCAATTCAAGTCAACCTGATTTACTTTAATTTGACAATATCAAAAAAGATAAGGAGCAATGCGTGAGCAGATAAGTGAGGCACAATACTGGCCCTTCTTTTGGAAAAATTAGGGTGTAGGCACCCCTATTTTAGTTTATTTATATCATATTTCTTTCAAATAATTAATAAATATTTATTTATTCAAAAACAAGTGTGCATGCATATACTCTCCAGTGGAATTTTCATCCATCACATTTGTCAAATTTTTAATCTCCCCATGTAGGCCAAGTCAAGTGATGCAGATGGCCTCATCAGGCTATTTCAATGTTCCAAACTAATCAAGATATTTTGTTTGACAAAATAGATGAAAATCAATATTTTTTAATGTGCATAGGACATTATGAGTCAATTCTTCACAAAATAATACCCATCTCCTGCTATTCTTATTACATTTGATCACTTCACTTTGAAAAACCCAACCAACATTTGTTTGTACTTGTGTGAGGATCAAATTATTTTTTTGGCGATTTCATTCCTTACTCATTCCTTTTTTTCTCAAATGAGTAATTGGTTTACTTGTTTGATTGATTATTTAACCAAGAATCATAATGATTGTGTTTTAGCTCGTAGAGGATTCGGTTAGATAATCCCAAGAATCATTGAAAAAATCTTCAAATGCTTTCATGATAATATGTATAAATTGTGAAAAATTAAGCAACTCCATGATGCTAAGCGATAATTCATCATTAAATGATGAGCACAAACTTTTAAAAATTTCCTAAAATGCTATCTATAGTACATCACTCCATCTAATAAAACAAAACACTTACCAATATCACGAAAGAGTGAATTTATTATAAAGTTTTCAATATGACAAATGTTCTGTTCTATCCTATTTCTTTACAGGAAAAATTGGTGAAGGCACTGATTAGGAGAGGCATATAATTTCCCCTCAATGTTAAGCCATCGTTTTTTTTTTTAATTTTTTTTTTAATGTTAAGCCAACGTTTTACATCTTGTTGTTGAAGTTCAAACTCGCCAAAATTATGGAAACCAACAAATAATAGAAGAAACAAAACTAATCTAGAGTCAAAGATTTTCCATTAAACTTCAAATCTACATAAAGATCAACATAACATTTCATAATAGTACCGCAACAACCAAACTAATTGATAGAAGATGTGTGCAATGGAAGTGTTTTGAAGATACATACTCTCGAACTTATTGAAGTTAGAAACAAGAATACGATTTGAAAAATCAAATTTACCTCAACTCTTTCATGAATGACAATAGCCTTGTTGGATAGATTATTTCCTTTGACAACTTCACTAGCCTGGTAAAATATCCAAAACAACCTTATTGTCAATGAAAAATGAATCCTACAACTTGATAATCAAAGGAAAACTAAGATGATTAAAATATAAAAAAACTGTACAAATTAGAAAAGGAGAAAAAAAATATATTAATTACCGTAGAAATATATAAGAATAGCAAACCAAGACAGTACAAAGGTAGTCAAATAACAAATTAATCAAGATAGCAGCACCAGTAAAAGAGAGCAAATTAGCAGGAGCTTTAATGTAAAATAAGCCGCTCAGGTTATTCCAAAAACAATGCATCGATGGACAATCTCATTGGAAGTTCAAATTTTCATTCCACTCTCAAAAAATGGGAGAATTCATTTGGTGGGTGAGGGCTGGACGTGGAAAAGACGCTGGCGGCAATTGCATTGACACTGGAATGAGGGTGGCAGGTTGCGAGAGGATGAAGATGAGAGATGGAAATTTGCATGTATATTATTGTTAGAAGAATAAAATCAATCAATGTTTTGAGAAAAGTTTATTTGATTTCTTTATTTGACTTATTTTGCAATTTCAATCAGTTTGTAACATGCCTACGTGATGGGCGCAAGAAAGAGCTGTGTTTTCAATTTTCTAATGTTAGGTTGATTTGTATGATTAGGTGTACAATCAGACAATTTTGGTTCATAGATAATTCCAAATTCCACAAAAGTTCGTGGATAATGTCAGCTAGCTTTTGATGAAAGTTCATGCCTTGCTTATTTTTGCCTTCAATTGTGGGTTGCAGCTTTTGCGTGGACTATTGTGATTCTTCATGCTGCTAGCGGGCAATGTTTCCTCTGCATGTTTTTGCGGATCCTCTGTTGTACCTTACCCAAATTATGTTGCAACAACTATGTCACAACTTATCTACTAACTCATTGTTATCACTACTGTCATTCCCTTTGCCTATATTTTGCATTGGTATGCGATCAATGCAACTGTAGAAAGTTTCTTTCATGAAGTGTGCTTGGGTTTTGAATAATCAAAAATTGAATTTAAGATGATCTAAAACTGAATTGGGTTGATATTATGACTATCATATCTACTAATGGAGAGATGACAAATATATAAAAAGATAGATTGAGGCAAGTAATTGTGTTAATTTGATTCAATATATTATTACTCTTTTCAATCTTATGAGTGCAAATTCTGCGCGTGATTCCTTTGCGTGAAACAAATTTTATTAGCTAATTTCATGGAAAGTCATCTCCTTGTATTATTACCAAGTCCAAATTTCTAAACTTTTGTGTATTTTTTCCTTGACTTAAATTTTTCCAAATATCTTGTTATTGGCTTGCTAGTATTCCTGATAGTTGATACTATACAAATTTGATAAAATTAGGATTCTTATTGTGGTGAATTAATTATCATTATTTGTTATTTTGCATAGTTAAATGTCTCATTGATTTCCTTCAAATTTATTCAATCATATTGCATTTTCATTGGGTTCTAATTCTTGTATTTATTGTTTTGTGCCTAAAGAAATCAATTTCTTTTTGCATAGTAAGTGAACATGGATATGCAAATCGAAAGTATCCTTGCAAAATCTACATACATTGCATCATTTTAGTTGCAGAAAAAAACTTTAACCCAAACCATCCTACACCAAATTGGTAATAGAGAGCTTTAGGTTGTGTCATCATAATAAACAACTTGAAGCATTGAATCATTTAATGATACGAGAATAGTTTAGTTGTTTTTCTTGTTTGGTTTATTTTAATTCCAATCAGTTTGGAACATGCTTATGATCATAGTCTTGAGGAAGGTGCTTTCTGTTTTGTAAAGTTAGGATGGTGATAGGAAATGCTTCTTGAAACAGAAGAAAACCTTAGCCAGATATGAATTTTAGCAAGTCCAAAACAAAAAACAAGGAAGATATAGGTGAAATCACACAAGAGAAACTTTTTAATTGCTGATAAGAAGATGAAACAAACAAGATATCATAGATCTTCAATTGGAGAAGAAGATCCGGCTCTCTCAAATCTCTAGCCGCCGGCTAGAGCCCAAACATCCTAAGAACAATTTAAATTCAACAAACAACACATACCATACACGCTTTTATTGCGCGTGGTGGGAAGGCTAGTCTCCCAAAATTTCCCCTAAACGGGGGAGACGCTGGAAGGCTGACGAAATTTTGTCTGAAAAAGAAAAGGACTTGAACTCTAAAAGACAATAGGGGACTTGCAAATCTGTACTTGAACTTGATAACGTAAAACTTGAATTTCAATGAATATTAAATAATGATATCAAGATCAAATGAATTTGAATATAAAAGAATAACACTAAATTGAGCTTCATTTAAGAATAAAAAATTGAAACAAATGACAAGTGGTCAAATGATGAATTCATAAGGAATTTATGATATCCAAGCATTTAAGTGACAATCATAATCATTCAAATGAAGATCAAGTAAGTAATGGCAAGGGGCCTAAGTGAACAAATGCAAAAGATATGAATCTTGAACTTGAGTATGAACCTAAGTTAATGGAATTCAAACCACATGACGATGAATTTGAACTTGCACGGATCTTATGGAATATAGCATTATGCATATGATAAATATATGATTAACGAAACAATGAGCTTCTAATTACATGCCACTATTGAACACAAAGCTCATGACGAATAAAGAACTCGCAAGCGTGGTTTGTTGGCAAGCAACAGAAGAACAATAAACTAAAGTAGAGCTTGATTTGAATGATAATATGAAAGCTCAAATGGAATGATAAAAAGTTGTCACTTTAATGCAAAGTGCTAGTTCAAATCTCATGCAAGCAAATAAGGGTTTGTGGTGGACAATGAAGCTGCAAACAAGTGATGCAAAAGTTATAAAGGATACTACATGATTTCGTAGAATGCCTTTGATGGACAATACAATCACATTTCTTGCAATGTCAATCAATCGAATCAATTTTGATGTATGTCATGAATACAAGTAATGTACCTCAAACATGCTCCTAAATAAGTAAAGAAAGTTAGATGGATGGCACACAAACAAATGAGATGTGAGGGACACATGATGAAAGGGAAGCTTGTTTTGAATATAGTCCCAAGCACTCAGCACAAAATTTATGATGAAGTCATCATGTTAGTTGAAATGCAAGTACAAAAACAATGACAATCATCTATGAATAAGGAGCAACTACAAGAAACAATCAAAGACGAACGAAATATCAATACAACTTGTTCATATATGTCAATCAACGAAGTTGAAGAAAACATACAACTCAAGTGCAAACAACAATTTGAGACTTGCTTAACAAGCGTCATTGTAAGCGGTGATATGAGACTCTTCACCCATGAATAATAATCATAATGGAGCGAATGAATGATGCAAACAGATAATGTTGATTGCAAGAAATAATACAAGACTCTTAATTCATATATGAACCAAATCTAAAAAAAATAAAAATAAAATAAAATAAATTATATATATATATGAACCAAATCCTCCGACGAATGTTATAAATTCACTTATCAACAGTGGTAATCGACGAGCGACATTTGTCCTACTCATGTTTATGAGAAAGGTATGATGGTTGGAACAAATGCATTGATGTGCTTACAAGCAAAAGAATGGAGGGCATGTAATAGTTGCAGTAGCGCGTTAATTGAAATATGAATATCAAAAGGTAGAAGGGGAAATTGGTGGATTATGGATACAATGGGTTCTCTACGAGTTAGTTGTGAGAAATGCGATGTATGTGCCACTTTACCTATAAGTGGAGGACAATACATTTGTAGTGTAGCCGAGTTCCTGGGAAATATTATTGGAGATTTGTTCTCCATTTGGTACCTTGCCTATAAGTAAAATGAGTAATTTGTAGTGCATATGCCATAGTTCTCTAAAGGTGACAGTGAAGGATATATAAGCGAATACATCAACTTGCCAACCGATGCATACAGAAAGATTACAAGTACAGACTTCAACGAGTTATCGTAGAAAATCCATTGTACGCCAAACGTAGTTTTCACAAGCAAAATACAAAAGGACTATGATGAATACCAAATCCTACAAGCTGCTAAAGGAGGCCCGTTATACATTTAACTTGATATCTACGAGCAAATGTGAAAGAACTGCAATGTATACAAGCATCTACGAGCCAAGGCAGGAGATTCGTTAGTGCACTAAAATCTACCTGCATAAATCATACAAGTAGTGAATAACTCAATTCAGAAGCTGCTATGCCACGCCACCAGATCCGCAACTTCTATATAAGCGGACAGAAGGCGTCTACAAATACTTTCAAAGTACCCCAGGAACTAATTCGTTAAAACTCCATCGTCAAAAGCAAAAGCAATCAAACAGTCCCAGGCGGGGAGGCCGGGGTCAAATTTTCGGAGCCCACAGTCTCTCTCAGACCTCTCAATCTCAGTACCCTGAGCTCTGCTCGTATGTCCTCCCTGAGCCCCTTCAAAAAATTCCCTTCCAATCCTTCATCGAAAATTCCTCTCAATCTTCCCGACAGCAGCTCATACTTCTCCTGATACTCCATGATTGTCCCCTCTTGAGTTAGGGCATAAAATTGTTCATTGAGGTTTCTTTCTTAAATAGCTTGGAAACACTTCGACAAACACTCCTTAATTCCTCCAATGAATAGATCAGATATCAAGCCTACCTCTACTGAAACCAAGCTAAGGCTTTTCCTCCAAGCATAGCCTTGCCGCCATGAGTTTTTCCCTTTCCAAGTCGTTGATTGCAAAGTAACGTTCCACCTGATACACCCAACCCTAAGCATCTTCCCCTTTAAACACTGGCATCTTCAACTTTCTCATTCTCACATCCATACCTTAATGTCATCTCCCTCCATTAGTTCCTCCCACGTAATGATTGTTTGAATCTCTCCACTTCTCCCTTGGCTGATTTGGACCTTATGACTCTGCCAAACCATGCCCTACTCCATTCCACCTCTACTTATGCCCAGGTCATCTCCCAAAGGGTTCGGCATCCCCCGCCTTGATGTCCTTCCTTCAAAATACTCCAATCTGCCCACCCAAGAAGCCCCCTATGGAGGTCCTCGATGGAAAACACTCTCCATTTCATCATTGTCCTCCGAAATCTCCTTCCCCTTTGATTCAACCTTAGGAACTGCCAGTTAGGCTTTTGACTGCATTTCGATCAACTTCATCGTGTCTTCCATATTTTTGAAGCAGCTCTCAATGGATAAGAACCTTCCATGTTCAAATATCTTTCCTCCTCCAACCTTGAAATTTTCCATCTCACCTTCCAACATCTCCATCTTCTTTGCTTCCATTCATAGATTTAGGTTTCAAATCATAAAAAATAACCAAAATTGGAGAATCTAGTCTTCAAAAACGAAAATCAACAAGAAAGAAAGAAAAAAGCAGCAAAAATCAACATGGGGCCTTAAATTTTACCCCAAGACATCACTTTGATATCAATTTGATATGAAACGCTTCTTGAAATAGAAGAAAACCCTGACTGAAATTGAATTTCCGCAAAGCCCAAAACAACAAACATGGAAGAACTAGATGGAATCACACGAGAAACTTTTTAATTGATGATAAGAAAAAGAAACAAACAAGATACAATGGATCTTTAATTTAAGCGGAAGATCTGGCTCTCCCAAAATCTCTAGCCGCCGGCTAGAGCCCAAATACCCTAAGAACAATCTAAATTCAGCAAACAGCACAAAAACCCCTAACTCTAGAAAAATCGCCTACTTAAAGCAAATAATAAATAGCAAATACCCAAACAGCCCCACCCCAATTTCCTCCCAAATCTGCCTTATTTCCTTAATTATCTTCCTCCCAAATCTACCCTCTTCAATTACGAAGCATTTCCTAATTAATCTCCTCCAAATCAGCTCCTAAACCAAACCCCAAATCTACCCTCTTCAATTAGGAACGATTTCATAATTAATCAGTCCCCAAATTTTTCCTCTTCATTTAAAAAATATTTCATAATTAACCCCTTCAAATCAGCCCCCAAATTAACCCCACTTTCTTGCAGCTCCTGCTCCGCCGTATCAGATGATCTATATGGCTCGGCATGGGATCAAACTTAGCTTGGTTCATGGATAATTTTAGTTGCACATTAGTTTATGGATTCAATCAGGTGGATTTTGATTGAAGTTATTGCCAGTTGTTAGTTGTAGACTTCCATGCCTTATTCACACCTCCACTAATGGATTATAACTCTTGCATGAGTTATTGCAATTTCTATCATTTCTAACACACGATGCTCCTTATGTGTGCTAGCGTAGAACCTATGTAGAGCATTATTCGGGTATTGTTGTGGCCCCTTTGTCACAACTTATCTAACAAGTTGTTGATAATCCATTATGAACAAATAATAAAATTAAATTTAAAAAAAAAACTTTTTTTTAATCCTTTTCTATTGTTCCTTTCACTTATATGATGAGGGTTTCGTATGCGATCATTGTGTAAAGGCTGTGGTTGGGTTTCTTTTTTAGCTCAGGTTTGGATTTATTAAGGCTTCAATTTTAAGCATACCTAGAATTCAAATGGGCTAATCTTGCAACAAAAAACCTACTAACCTAATTTCGGCGAAAGTCATCTCCTAAAGCATTGCTAGCTAGTCTAAAAGGATAGAAGGAAATAATGGAAAGAGCTCATCGAAAAAGTATAACTTATCTAGTTCATGTAATACTATTATCCCATCCATCTGTTCATGGTTCCAATAAGGTTTAATCACCAAAAGTTTAATCATAACTATCAATGTTTCTTGCACGTTATGCATTAGCTTATAAGTAGTTGCTATGACAGTGAGAACGTTTTAACTCAACATTTGCACTAGCATCACGAACATCCAACTCATCAAAATGAAATTTTAGTCAGGCTACTCGCTTCACCATACTTTATTAGGAAGTATCTCTGGTTTCAACAATCACGTTTGTCCTGCAATGGGTTATGTTTACTTCCCTCATCAGTTGTACTGTTTTAATCTACTATACTGACACTGCAAGACCACATTCGATGTAGCCAATCCTTGAAGATCGTAACTGTTACAAGTGATTCAGAATTATGCTGATGTTTCAATAGCAGAAAAAAGTAATAAAGTTCTACGTACAGAATATTAAACAAATACTATTTCAGTTATAGGT